GGGTTTTGCATTTTTCTGCCTGTGGAATACAGTTTATTTTAGAGCAAGATGAGAAGAGGGGCCCCTGCCTCACCCGTGAAATACCATCCTATGGAGTGCACACGTGCCAATGCCCCCCATGGGTGCTGTGGATGGTGGCACCAGGGTGCAAGGAAGCAGGGAGGCGGGTGCCAGGGAGCCTGCATGATGCAGGAAGCTGGATAGGGAGGGTCAGGGGCTCCACTCAATTCTTTCCCAGTGGATTTTCCCCATGGGGGCAGCGCCAGCCCATGGTGTCCCCAAGTGTAATCACAGCCTGTGGCTATCCTCAAAGATAGTCCGCGGGTGCCTGATGGGAGTCACAGCCTGTGGATATCTCTGCAGTGCCAGACTGACATCCCCCATGGAATCACAAATTATGGGTGTCCCCAGATGCAAATCACAGCCCATGGGCATTCCTGAGTGCAATCACAGCTTTAAGAGTGTCCCTAAGACTTCAGGGGCAGCCCATGGTGCCCCCAAGCCAGAACCAACAAGAAGGGGTCCTCAGGCCCCAGGGTGCACTGACAGGGCATGGGGTCTACTAGGGCAGTGCCAGCCCTGCAATGTCCTTTAGTGCAGGACAGCTCTGGCTGGGGCAAAGGGAGGTCTCAGGCCCTGGGGGTGGCTGGTGGTGGTATCCCTGGGGCACAGGAACAGCACACTGCCCGCCATGCAGTCCCCAAGCACAGGACCAAGACATGATATGTTCTCCATATTGGTGAGAGGACACAGGGGGTCTGCTCCAGCCCAGCATCACCAGAAATGCCCCCACTGCACTGCTCCAGGGTGTCCCTAGTACAGTGTCACCAGGGTGTCCCAGTACAGGCGCCACTGAAATATCCCTAGTACCCAGGGTGTCCTTCTCCCACTGCCCCCGGGATACCCCTAGTGCAATACCCCAGGATGTCCATAGTGCAGTGCCACCAGGGTATCCCCTATACAGTGCCACTGGGGTAACCTCTAGTGCTGTGCCCAGGGTGTCACTCTCACATGCCCCACGGTGCCACCCAGTGCCACCAGGTACCCCCAGAGCACTGCTCTGGGGTGTCCAAACCACAGTGCCACTGGGTTGTCCCTAGTGCAATACCCCAGGGTCCCCCTAGCTACCAGGGTGTCCCTAACACAGTGGTACCAGGGTACCCCTAGTGCAGTGTCCACGGTGTCCCCAATACAGTGTCATGGGCTATCCCTACTGCAGTGTTCCAGGGTGTCCCTCTCACAGTGCCTAAGGGTTTTCTTCTCCCACTGCCCCCCGAGTACACCTAGTGTAATACCCCAGGGCCCCTCTAGCAGAGTGCCACCAGGGTGACACCAATATAGTGCCACCTGGGTACCCCTAGAGTAGTACTCTGGGTGTCTCTAGCACAGTGCCACTGGGGCACCTCTACTGCAATACCCTGGGGTGTCTCTAGCACAGTGCCACCTGGGTGTCCCCAACACAGTGTCACTAGGGTACCCTTAGTGCAATACCCTGTGGTGTCTTTAACACAGTGCCACCAGAGTGTTCCCAAGTGCCACTGGGGTACCCCTACTGCAGTGTCCCAGGGTGCCCGTCTCACAGTGCCTGAGGGTGTCCTTCTCCCACTGCCCCCAAGATACCCTTAGTTCAATACCCCAGGGTCCTTCTGGCACAGTGCCACCAGGGTGTCCTCAACACCATGCCACTGGGGTACCCCTAGTGCAATACTCTGCAGTGTCTCTAACACAGTGCCACCGGGGTGTCCCCAGCACAGTGTCACTGGGCTGTCCTACTGCAATACCCGGGGGTGTCTAAACAGTGCCACTGTGTACCCTAGTACAATAACCTGGGGTGTCTCTAACACAGTGCCACCGGGGTGTCCCAGCACAGTGTCACTGGGGTACCCCTAGCGCAATGCCCCTGCGGTGTCTCTAACACAGTGCCACCGGGGTGTTCCCAGCACAGTGTCACTGGGGTACCCCTAGCGCAATACCCTGCGGTGTCTTTAACACAGTGCCGCCGGGGTGTCCCCAGCACAGTGTCACTGGGGTACCCTAGTGCAATACCCTGTGGTGTCTCTAACACAGTGCCACTGGGGTGTCCCCAGCACAGTGTCACTGGGGTACCCCTAGCGCAATGCCCTGTGGTGTCTCTAACCCAGTGCACCGGGGTGTCCCCAGCACAGTCACTGGTGTACCCTAGTGCAATGCCCTGCGGTGTCTCTAACCCAGTGCCACTGGGGTGTCCCAGGCACAGTCACTGGGGTACCCTAGTACAATGCCCTGCGGTGTCTCTAACACAGTGCCACTGGGGTGTCCCCAGCACAGTGTCACTGGGGTACCCCAGTACAATAACCTGGGGTGTCTCTAACACAGTGCCACCGGGGTGTCCCCAGCCAGTCACTGGTGTACCCTAGTACAATACCCTGCGGTGTCTCTAACACAGTGCCACTGGGGTGTCCCCAGCACAGTGTCACTGGGGTACCCCAGTACAATAACCTGGGGTGTCTCTAACACAGTGCCACCGGGGTGTCCCCAGCACAGTCACTGGTGTACCCTAGTACAATACCCTGCGGTGTCTCTAACACAGTGCCACTGGGGTGTCCCCAGCACAGTGTCACTGGGGTACCCCAGTACAATAACCTGGGGTGTCTCTAACACAGTGCCACCGGGGTGTCCCCAGCACAGTCACTGGTGTACCCTAGTACAATACCCTGCGGTGTCTCTAACACAGTTGCCGCCGGGGGTGTCCCCAGCACAGAGCCACTGAGCTACCCCTGTGCAGTGCCCCGGGTGTCCCCTCTCCCGGTGCCCCCGGGTGCCGGTGCCCGGGGCTGCGCCCCCCCCCCCGCCCCGCTCGGTGCGGCGGCCGGTGCAAGCCTGTCCCTAAAAGGTGCTGGCGGGCGGCGGGGGAGGCGCCGGGGCGGCCCCGGCGCGGCCCCTCCCCAGCTCTTAGGCGGGCGCGGCGGGCCGGGGGCTCAGTGCCGGTGCTCCCGCCGTCCCCGGTACTCCGCCGCCGCCCCCGGTGCTGCTCCCTTCGCCGTCCAGCGCCCCGCCGCCGCCCCGCCGCCACCATGGAGGCCATCAAGAAGAAGAAGCAGATGCTGAAACTGGACAAGGAGAACGCCATCGACCGCGCCGAGCAGGCGGAGGCAGACAAGAAGCAGGCGGAGGACCGCTGCAAGCAGGTGGGTGTCCCACCGACCACCCCCCCGGCGCTGCCCGGTGACCGCAGCCAAAAGAGACTTGAGCCTCTGGGAGTCTGTCCTGCTGAGCGTCCAGCCCTGGGGACCTTGTCCTGTTGGGTGTCCAGCCCTTTGGACACTGCCCCACCGGGTGTCCAGCCCTGGGGACCCTGTCCCATTTGATGTCCAGCCTGAGGACCCTATCCCGCTGGGTGTCCAGCCCTGGGGACCCTGTCGTGCTGGGTGTCCAAGCACTGGGGACCCTTTTCTGCTGGGTATCCAACCTGGGGACTCCATCCTGCTGGATATCCAGCTTGGAGACCTTCACCCTAGGGGTGTCCAGCCCTGAGGACCCTCTTCCAGAAGTTGGTTCAGCCTGAGGACCCTCCATCCTAGGGGTTTCCAACCCGGGGACCTCCAGATGCTGTATGCCCCAGTTGGGGACCCTGTCCTAGGGGTGCCCAGTCCTGGGGACCTCCTCACTGAGTATCCAGCCTGGAGACCTCCGTCCTAGGGGCGTCGTGCCCTGAGGACCTTTCCCTGCTGGGTGGATCCCAACTCTAGGGATGGCTGGCACTTGAGACTTTCAAGCCACTGGGTCCCCATCCCCGAGGACCTTCACCCTGCTGGGTGCCTGACCCCAGGGACCAGTGCTCCACACTGCTGCCCCCTGACCATTCACTTTGGTCCCTCCACAGACACCCAGTGCCAGCTCCTATCCCTCTGCCAGGGAGACCCCTTGGGGATATCATGGTCCACTCCACCCATATAGAGATAGGGACCTTCTTGCTGCCCACCTCCTGACCTGTGTCCTCCAAGTCAGGACCCCTCAAGTGCCCTACACGGGGGAGGGGGGCACCCCCCCCTAAACTGCACTGGTCTTAGGGGTGTTGGGAGCTCGGATGAGGTTTAAGGACCCCCTCGAGGACGTGTGGACCCCAGGTGACAGAGGGACAGTGCTGTGTCCCCAGGAGGAGGATGGCTGTTCCTCCCCAGGCTGGTGGGCATCACCACAGCCCTGACCCCAACTCTGTCCCTTCCCCAGCTGGAGGAAGAGCAGCAGGGCCTGCAGAAGAAGCTGAAGGGCACAGAGGATGAGGTGGAGAAGTACTCCGAGGCCGTCAAGGAGGCCCAGGAGAAGCTGGAGCAGGCGGAGAAGAAAGCTACAGATGTATGTATGCGCACCGGCAACTCTGCCGTGCACGGGCACCGGACCTCGGGGGGGGTAAAGGAAGAGGGGGCCTTATATTGGAAAGTGTCCATGGGGAAGACTGTCAGGATCCCATTCCTGCAATGCTGACACTGAACCAGGCTGAGATGCCGGGAGTGATGGATCCTGCTTGGGCTGCGGGGCCAGGCCAGCTGCAGTGGGCAAAGCTGGGGTCCCTGGTCCTGCCTAGCTCCCCAGAGCTAACAGGGATGAGCGTCTGAGCTGTGTCACTGATGCCCAAGCACTCAACTCCACAATGCTTGTAGGGAAATCTCTGTGGCACTTCCTAACTGTGGCAGGAAAGTGAAAAAGAGTAGAGAAGTGGAAAATGCTTCTGCCCATGGCCTGCTGCTGAGGGCTGGCTGCAAGGAAGGATGCTCGGGGGTGTGGGTGGGGACTTGGTCATTTTGGGGTCCAATGTGCCACCTTGTACCCTGGGAAGGGCAAGGCCAGGAAGAGTTTTATTTAGTGCTATGACTGATATTTCTCCTGGGAAATGGATCCCGCTAGGGAGATGTTAGGAAGGTGTTGAAATTGGCTTGTGCCCGGCCAAGATGAAGGGTGGAACAGCTGTGTGCAGCTCAGGAACGGGGTATAACGACCTGAGGTGCCACACAGGGTATTTGACACCCTATAAATATATCCTCCTTTGATACCCAGTCCTTCTTTGATGAAAACCAACCCTAGAAACAGGAGGAGAAGCTAAAGGGGAGCCGGCTGGAGGACGGCCAGCAGGGCACAGCCAGGCTTTTTAGGATTGAGAACAAAAAATCCAATCCCAGCTGGTTTAATGGAGCTAAATGGGGGAGATGCGTCAAATCTCCGAGGTGGATGCCAAGGACAGGGGTGAACAGACAAGGACGAGCACTGGCAACACAAGTCTGCGGGGAGGGGGGGCAAGCCTCTGGGAGCATTGGTGGAGCTCCCCAGCCTTGTTTTGCTGACCCTATGGACCTGCCCCAGTTTAGTTAGATGCTAAATTAAGTAGTTAAAACATTGAATATCCTCTGGAGGGTCCATTTATCCTGGCAGGGGGCAGGCATGTCAAGCTGGGCAGGGTGGCTGCTGTGTGTAGTGGGGTTTACGCTGGTCCGACTGGATCTGTGCTGGTGTAGGACAGGACAAATGCTGTGTTGGGGTGTGGCTGAGCATGGATGTGATGTCCCCAGTGTGGTGCTCAGAGGACAGGGCACTGGGCACTGGGCAGACATTAGTCGTGGGGTGCAGAGGGTTTGCTGCTGACTGCTGTGCAGTGCCATCCTGGACACGCAGGGTGGGTTGCCTCACTCTCGGTCCACAGCAGCTCAGCAAGTCTGAAGGCTTCAGCATGGAGAATCCCATCCCAGCAGATACGGTGCGTGGATATGGGACACCGGCCCCTCCAGAGAAAGGCTGGAGGGTGACATGCAGTGAAGGGCAGCCTGGGACCCCATCACTGCATAGCCACCCCGGGTCCATGCCAGAGCACATGCTGCCCCATCTGCAGGGTTCTGGGAGTCCCCAGGTCCCTGCGCCAAGCACCTGAATGTGCTGACAGTGCTAAGGGCTGGTGTCACCTCCTGGGGCAAGGCACAGCCAGCTCCGGGCTCTGGTGGAGGAAGCGCAGGGTGGACCCCAAGCCCACCTCCCTGGGGACCCCCATGCTCTCCCTGGCTGCCGGGACAGTGTATTCCTGAGGGCACAGGCAGTCCCGATCCCATGGTCAGATTAGGGTCCATCACAGTGATCCAGGCAGGCTCCTGCTCCCGGCAAAAAAAGTCAAAAGCTCATAGAATCCCAGAATTGTTTGTGTTGGAAGGGACCTTCAAAGCTCATCCAATTCCAACCCGCTGCTGCAGGCAAGGATACCTTCCACGAGAACAAACTGCTCAGAGCTCCATCCAGTCCAGCCTTGAACACTGCCAAATGCCTAAAAAGAATCCATCTCGCCCTGCTCCGCACTGCCCTGCCCCTGGCACTGGATGGCACTGCATGTAGCCCTGGGGACCCCTCTGCTTACTCAGAGAGGGGTCAGATGGTGGCACAGGCTGGGCACAGCCTATCGGCAGCACCATGGTGTTGGCAGCCCCATGGCCCCAGCACCTCTTGTGCCCAGGAGGGACAGCCCGTGGTGCCCCAGGCAGGATGCAGGCAGGAGCTGCGGGGCATGGTGCAGGGCCAGGGCAGCTCCTTCCAGCCCCCTGCATCCCCATCCCATGGCCCATCCCCTCCAGCCCAGCAGGGCCCAGGGAAACTCCACTGCCTGTTCCCAGGCCATGATCCCGAAAAGCTTCACCCAAGTTCCCGCCCCGGTTGCTCTCTCAGGCCGAGACTTTGCTCTTATTTGGTGATTCCCCGAGCCGGTGGGAGGGAACGGGGCTCTGCTGGGAAGTGACTGCATCCCTGGGTGGGGCCAGAGCAGGAGACACCCAGCCTGGCTGCCTTGGGAATACGGGAGCAGCCCCCCAACCTGCCTCCCAACCTGCCTACAGCCAGTGCATCCCTGCCCCACTGCTGCCAAGGACCCCCATTCTTTGACCCTGTGCAGGCTTGGCACCCAGGCATTGGACTGAGAGTGGGGCAGGATAGGCTGGGATGGAGGCCAAGGCTAAGGCCATGTACTCCCATGGGACCCACAGCACTGCCTCTTGGCAGGGTGATGTGGGACTGCAGGGTGGTGTGGCCAGGTCACCCCCTGGACCCTTGGCCCTGGAGCCAAGGGAAGCCGGAGGGGTCAGACTGGGAGCTGATGTCTGTAAAGGCAGGTACGAAGTGCAGCTGGGGCTGCCCGGGAGCTGTCAGAGCTCCTTAAGGAAGGATTGAGTGTTACCAGCACCAGCTTCTCCTGATGGATCAAGGCATGTGCCCCGGCCAGGATGCAGAGCCAGGAGCTGGGGGACATGCCTCCCCCATAGGGCAGAGCCCCCAGGGCAGCTGGAGGTTGCAGGGACCTCCACAGGCCCCATGGGTTTCTGTGGGGCTCACCTAGGCCCTCACTTGGGGGAGCATCAGGATGACCGCTGGGGAAGTGGCTGTGCCCCACACGGCTCTGGCCCAGGTACCATGGGAGGATGCCCAGGAGCCAGCTCTGCCCCATTTACCCCTATTACCTATTACAGCCCCTACGGGGAAGAAGTTTGTGACATCCCTCAGCTTTGCAGCAGGAGGTGTGGGGTCAGCACTTGGGAGCACCCATGGGTACACTGCCCTGTGCTGATGGGTGCTCACAGGGTCCAGGCTCTGGCATTCCCAGATTCCCTGGGCTTCCTTCTTTCCCAGAGGAACAGACTTCCTGGGCTTCTCTGCATTGCTCTGAGGGATTTCAGTGGAACTTCATACCCCTTCCTGGGGTCGCCATGCTCCGTGCCCAGGGACGGGACTATGTGCCCTGCCATGGAAGAAAGAGGGCATTGTCCCATACTGGAGGGGGTAGGGGGGGCAGTCTGTACCCTGCCATGGGGGGGAGCTGTGTCCCACATCGGGGGTGGCACTATGTGCCCTGCCTGGGGGGGACCATATGCCGTACCAACGGAGATGGTGCACCGGCCGGGGAGGGGGGCACCGTGCCCTGCTCGGGATGGGACACATCGTGCCCTGCCCAGAGCCCACCTCGCATCATGCCTTGTGGGGGTAGGGACCTGCCTGGGGGTGACCATGCGTCCTGCCCAAGTGGACACCCTAAGTCCTGTTGTGGGCTGTGCACCCCTCCCGATGTGGCACCGTGCACGCTGCCCCGGGGGGTCTGCGTGCGCTGCCCGGGCCGGCCGGTGGCAGCAGCAGCAGCAGGAGGAGGAGGAGGAGCAGGAAGGGATGGAGGCAGGGCTGGCGGCGGGAGCGGCCGCTGCCTGAGCGCTTCCTGCCCGAGCCGGGCGGATCCCACAAAGGGCTCGTCGGCGCGGCCTCCCCGCCGGCAGCCCCCCCGCCATGGCCGGCATCAGCTCCATCGACGCCGTCAAGAAGAAGATCCAGAGCCTGCAGCAGGTGGCCGATGAGGCGGAGGAGCGCGCCGAGCACCTGCAGCGGGAGGCCGATGCCGAGCGACAGGCCCGGGAGCGGGTAAGGGCCGCCCGGGGAGCAGGCGGCGGGGGACGGCGGGGCTGCTCCCCCCCGGGATGCTCCAGCGGCCCCGGGCCCGCCGCACACATCCATCCCCGCGGGCACGGCCACCCCTTAACCCCTCCAGCCCGTCCTGGTACCCGGGGTGGTGCCCCCGCTGCGGAGCGCCGGGAGGTGCTCTGGGAGCCGGTGGTCGCTGCACTGGGGCAGGGGAGTTTGGACAGCGCCGGGCTGCCTCCTGAGCTGCTTCCTCCATGGATCTTGAGAGGGATGCTCGGGGCTCCCCAGGGCTTCCCTGGCGGGCAAGGCTCCGGGGAGCAGTCGGCTCTGCCGTGGCTCTGGTTGGGGTCGGGCAGATCCTGGGAAAGGCTCCCCTCCCGCGGCGTGCACAGCTACACAACCCACACCCAGGCTCTTGTCGGGCTTCCAGCGGGTTCTGTGGTCTGGGTGGCAGCGATCTCAAAGCCCTCAGCTCTCCTGCGTGTCCCTTCATGGGGAAAAGCCACCCCTTCCCACTGCCACAGGAAGCCAATATTTCAGCTTTGGCAATGGGACGGCATTTCCAAGCTGCAGCTTGTTCCTGGTTTGGCTTTTTTTGTTGTTGAGGCTGGGTTTTTTCTTTCTCTTCTTTTCCCTATGCCCACTCTTTCAACATTCTCATCATATCGGGAGCGGCAGAGCTGGGTGCGGTACCCTGGTTGTTGTCACTAGGGCTGTGTGTGGAGGAAATGGCCCTTTCCTGCAGCCACAGATCGGGTTCCCAGTCACCGGGAGCTGTCAGAGTGCTCATGTTCCCAAGTGTCCATCCGGGCAGCTCTGACCCACTTTGGGGGTGATTCCCTGGGAAAAAGGCTCCCAGTGAGGTGATGCAGATGCCGCAGGCAGAGCATCACCCTGTGCCGGCCAGCCCCAGCTCCCTGTTGGGCCGGTCGGGATAGGAACGAGCTGATGGTGGGCCAGGATAAATGGTGTTCATGGGGTGGAGGTGGCTGTCGTGCCATCCTCACCCCACTCTGAGATGTGCTGGCTGTGTCTGTCCCTACCCTGCTGACTCACCACAGGGGACCAGGGGTGTTCTGTGGGGCCGCACAGGGCAACAGCCACTTGCTTCTCTCACGGTCCTGCGCTTGGCCAGTGTCCCCTGGGGCATTCCCAGTGCTGGAGCATGAGGCCAGAGGGAGCCAGGCACTGCAGCCAACCAGGCCTGCTCCAGCCCGTGAATAAGCAGGAGACATTATGCCCTGTGCTGGTGCACGTCCGGCCGTGCCTTGGCACACAAGGCTGCTCCCGCGCTGAGGTCTCATCACCACCCATCTCTTTACACCCCTGGGGCTCGCTTCCTGCAGCCCCTCCGTTGGGGAGCACAGCCGGGAGCTGCTGAGGCAGCTTTTCCCATTGGTGGCGATGGAGCAGGAGGCCCTTACCAAATGGAAAGAGCACGAGGCCAGGCATCAAGGGGCTGGCGGGGGGCCAGGGCCACCGCTCCCGGCTGGCCCCAGCTCCCAGCCCTGCGCACAGGGAGCCTGGGAAAGCAGGGGGCCCTGGTCCATTGGGTTCCAACAGTCACAGCTTGGCTGGGCATCAGCCTGCTGCGGGTGACTGGCTGCATTGCCCCTAGTGCCTTTCCATACATGAGCTGGGGGGGCTGCGCTTGGCTTCAGGCTGCCCCGTGTCACAGGGCTGGGGGTTCCCGCAGGGGACGCTCCCGGCTCACTCCACTGTCTCCGTAAACAGGAAATCCACAAGCAGCTCCCATCTCCTTTTCGGGAGCAGAGCCGCACGGGGCATTCCTCCCCCTTTACTCACTGCTCTGCAAACCCCAAATACCATCCCCATTACGGCATGGCTACTACAGGCCACCCTACCCCATCCGATGTCCTTGCCCCTCTCCAGGGTGGGAGCCGGAGGTGTGAGGACACAGTGGAGGGGCTGCACATGCCGGGATGGGGTTGCGTGGCTGGGAGGAGCTCTAGGGAAAGAGAAAACGCTGTTTTCCATATGGAAAAGCAAGGGGATGGATGTGTGGTTGGGCATCCCATTCCAGTGAGCATTGGCTTGTTGCACAGTGTCAGGGGTGTTATGGTTAGCAAATGTGGATGTAAACGCTGAAAATGCTTCTTGAAATACGCATATATGTATTTTATGTATATATATATATGTGTGTGTGTGTGTATATATATTTTCATACACATATATATGAGACAATGGGTTGACCAAGGGGTTTCTGCTCCCCAGGCTGAGGCTGAAGTGGCTTCTCTGAACCGCCGTATCCAGCTGGTGGAGGAGGAGCTGGACCGAGCCCAGGAGCGCCTGGCCACCGCCCTGCAGAAGCTGGAGGAGGCTGAGAAGGCGGCTGATGAGAGCGAGAGGTATGATCAGAAGGGACAGTCGGGGTGGCAGCGAATCATCACTGATTACAGGCAGCCCCCTTGGTTTCACTGTGGGGTCCTTCTGAAGTGACCTCATGGGGTTTGAGCTGGTTTTGTTGCAGATCCCAAAGGGATAGAGCAAAGCCGCAGTGCAATGAAGTTCCCCAGATACGGGCATTCTTTAAAAGGCTATGAAATTTCAAGGCACCCACAAAATCCAGGACAATTTGATTGAATATCAGGTTGTAAGCAAAGCCAGGGGGTGCTTGGAGCTTGTTTTCTGGCCCAGAGCAGCCTCCTATGCTCAAGTGCTGAACAGTAGCCCAGGAGGGGACATCTGTGCCCGGGAACAACGAGAGTGAACCACCCTCATTCATAAAACCAGTGCTGTAAAGTGTGTTGCCCCATCTTCATGGCAGGTGTCCCAGGCAGGAGCCATGCAGGCAAGGGCACTCAGGTTGAATGGGAGTGCCTGGACATGTCACGGCATTCCTGACGGTTACATGAACTCTTCCCTCTGTTGGCAAAGACCAGTTTGAGCAACAGAATCTGAGTGAGGGCAGAGGGGTCTGCAGGACTCCCTGCTGTGAGGGTTCATGGGGACCACTCTGCTTGTGAGCATCACCCATGAATGAGAAAAGGCTCTTTGCCACAGGATGTTTTCCAGCATTACCTAAAGGTTGTGGCTGGCTCATCCTAGGCTGCTCATATTTCCCCCCACAAATGATGGGTTCAGGACCTGCCTGGTTGAGAGCCACTGTAGCCACATCTTCTCACTCTGGAACATGGCCCTGGGGGCAGCTCCACTGCTGTTACTGTGTGCAAGAGCATCCTTGGGGTACCACTGGTGTGACTCTACTGTGTGGTGGGGTTATCCCATGTGTGATGTCCCGTGTCGCTGGAGCTGGAGGATGGTGGAGTTAGAATGCAGCGGGCAGGCAAGAGGAGCAGCAGTAACCCGCAGCAATAACATCTTCTGGGTTGGGCTTTCCACAGAGGCATGAAGGTCATCGAAAACAGGGCCATGAAAGATGAGGAGAAGATGGAGCTCCAGGAAATGCAGCTGAAGGAGGCAAAACACATAGCTGAGGAGGCTGACCGCAAATACGAGGAGGTGCGTGTCCTCTTCCCCTGGTCCTGACCCCTGGTGCACCTCCTTGCTGCCCTGTGTCCCCAGCAAATATGGAACCAATGCATGCCTCTTGCTCCATTGACAGGTCGCCCGCAAGCTGGTTGTCCTTGAGGGAGAGCTGGAGCGTTCAGAGGAGAGGGCAGAGGTGGCAGAGAGGTGAGGAGGGCTCCAGGTGGGCAATGCAGGGGGTTCCATACAGCCCTTGCCCCAGATCCCTGGCAGCTGTAGGGGTGTCTGCACTTGGGATGGGTTTGTCCCTCTCTGGAGCGGCAGGGGTGGCTCCTGGGCTCGCAGGCTGGGGGCAGAGGGACCCTGACCTGGTGGCAGCACATCCTTGACCCTGTTCTCTGCTGGGTGCCCCTCTTCCACCCCAGCCGCGTGAGACAGTTGGAAGAAGAGCTGCGGACCATGGACCAGACTCTCAAATCCCTCATTGCCTCAGAGGAAGAGGTACTGGTGCAGGGGCGCGGGGCGATGTGCAGCAGGCCCTCTCTCTGTCTCTGTCCCTCAAACCATGCGAGCCACCTCTGTCCTCTCTGCACTGCTGCCTCCACCACCAACATCCCCTCGCCTTCCTCTCCAATGGGCACAGGCTGGGCATGCTCCTCCATCCCTCCATCCCTGCTCTCCTTGGTGGGGCCGGCGGTGATGCTCAGGGTGTCTGTGCAAGGAGTCACGAGGAACGGATGAAGGGATGCGCCCCAGCAGCTCCTGCTCGCAGCAGCTCTGCTCCTCCTCCACCTGTCCTGAGTATTCTCTTCTCTCAACTTGTTTTCTCTCTTTTCTTTCCCTCCTTCCCCGCACCTGCTCTTTCTGCTCCCCTCTTCTCTCCTGCCTCCCCATCCCTCTCCCCCTCCTGGCGGCCCCTGCTTGGGATGTAGTAAATGTGGTGACCTAGAGGAGGAGCTGAAAATTGTCACCAACAACTTGAAGTCCCTGGAGGCCCAGGCTGACAAGGTAGGACCTGGTGGGGGCTGCTGGGACAGGGCAGAGTGTGTGGGGCCTTGGGGTGATGGGGTCTCCTGCTTGGGGTGAAGGATGGGCAGGGGCATCTCCATGGGGCTCATGGGTGCCTCTCTCTGTCTCTGCAGTATTCCTCCAAGGAGGACAAGTATGAGGAGGAAATCAAGTATCTAGGGGAAAAGCTGAAGGAGGTAAGGTGTTACAGCTGAACCCAGAACAAGGGCTGGCACCGTACTGGTGCAGGCATGAATGTGCCATCCTGTGTGGGTTGCATGCAGGTGCCTGGGTCAGGGATGCTTCCCCATCAGCTTGCCCTGATTTAGTGTGTATGGGTCCATGGGGCCCTTGTCCTTTGCCTTTCCCAGGGGAAGGCTCACAGAGGAGGGCACCAGAAGTGCAGATGGGGCACGTTTAGGGTATAGTGCAGCCTGCACCATCCCTATGGTACCCCACAGCTCACCCTCTCCCCACTGTGCTCTGCAGGCTGAGACCCGTGCCGAGTTTGCAGAGAGGTCTGTGGCGAAGCTGGAGAAAACCATTGATGATCTAGAAGGTAAAATGTTCCCACCAGCCCCAAGTCCCTCTTTTTTGGGGAGCACTGGTCAGGATGTGCCCCCGGTAGGGCTGGGGTGAGGGGATGGGCAGGGGTCCCATAAGGGGTGAGGCTGGATGCCGTGGTGGGAGCACAGAGCTTCAGGGGTCTGGGCTCTGCCTCTGGTGGGAAGTAGAGCTGCATCCACTCCACCTGTGCCTGCACGCTCCCTGGCCCCACATTCACAGCCACTCTTTCTCTCTCCACCACCTGCCCCCCACTCTGCTCCACCATCTGCCCCCCGCCTGCCCCCTGCCTGCAGACGAAGTGTATGCGCAGAAGATGAAGTACAAAGCCATCAGCGAGGAGCTGGACAATGCACTTAATGACATGACCTCCCTCTGAGCCCACACCGGGCACCAGCACTGCAGCTCCCTGCCCACCTTCCCCTTCCCCAGCTCAGCCACTTGCCTGCCTGGCCGTCCCACTGCTCTCCCTGCCTGCTCTGTCCTCCTCTGTCCTTCCTAGCCCATGCCTGTCCATCGGCTCTTTTGGGTCAGCGTGTTCCTGCAATACCCCATAGTGGGGAGACAGATTTATTCACTGAAAGGGTGGTCAGGCATTGGAACAGGCTGCCCAGCAAAGTGGTGGAATCACCAGCCCTGGAAGTGATCAAAACCCATGTGGATGAGGCCCTCAGTTATAACTGTTTAGTCTTGGTAGTCCTGCGGCAATGATTGGACTTGAAGATCTTAAAGGTCTTTTCCAACCTAGCTGATTCTGTGATTCTGTGACAAGATGTAGGTGCTTTGGGGTGTTTGGCAGGGCAGGGGAGCAGCCCTTGAGACCCCCATGCACTGGACGGGCAGTGCCCATGTGGTTGCATAGCCCCATGATGAACTGGGTTGTGCTCAGGAGCCCTCCACTTCAGCAGCTCCCTCCTTGGCTCCCTTGCATCAGAGGCACTGGGGACCCTGCAATTCTGGGCCTCCTGCCCCCATATCTCCCCCCAGCAAAGCTCCCTGGTGCTGCTCGCTGGGCCCAGGGTGAGGAGGACCTGCAGAGGGAAAGCAGCACCTCCACTGCCAAAGCTCAGTCCCTGGGGATAGAGGGTTGGGTCTGGCTATACAGGCAGCCTTGTCCCATGCAGGCAGGCAGGCAGCACACAAACCCCCTGCTCCTCCCTTTCTGTCCTTTGCACATTGCTCTTTAGTTTGCATCTCATGACTTTTCTTTTATGTTCTATCCCTCTGGGTTACTGAGTTGGTCTTAATAAAGCGTTTTCTTTCCTTGGATTCTCCTTTGATTTCTTCATTCTGCTCTCTCCCTCATCTGCCTGTCTCATGCGGGTGCTAGCAGCAGGGTGGTGGGAGGTGGTCGCAGCCATGGCACCCCCACCACCCCACGGCTCTCATACACAGCTTTCCTCATCTCGTGCCACCTTCTCCATGACATTTTAGGCCTGAAATAGCAGGGTTAGACCTGGTTCTGTGCATTCACTGTCCCATTCCCAGACATTGCCTCCAAGCAGCGATGTCAGCTCTGGCATCTCTCCTGCATTACCTTCCTCAGCAATCCCCAGATGGGTCCGTGGTTCTCTTCCTCCTCCTTCCTCAGCATCCTGCCCCAGAACCCAGTTCCCAGACTGATGGAGCTACAGCCCTGTCCCGGGTCTGGCTGCCTGTTCCTGCCAGTCCAGGTCATCCCCACTGTGGGATTTCCAGCAAGGGCTTTGGGGAATACTGTCTCTTTTCACTAACTCCCTTTCTCTTTCTCTTTCCTCTGCTGCGCCGATGTCTCTGTTTTCTCTATAGAGCGTTCACAGCGGGAGGCCGAGAAAAACCGTGTTCTCACTAACGAGCTGCGGGTCATCCTTACTGAACTTAACAACTGAGCTGCACAGAGCTCCCTGTCCCAGCACCCCTGCCCCGTTTTGGCCAGGCTGGTTTGGGGTTAGGAGCCCCTACCCACTTCCTAGGGCTAGGCAGGGTGTACAGCCTTGTCTTATCCCCCTGGGGGTAACTGCCCTGCTTAGGGAGGGGGGGACAGGGAACCCTTCTGGAGCTGATTATTTTTTCTTGGGAGAGCAATGAGGGTTTTTGTGATGTCTTGGGATGCCCACGTGGTGATGGCTGTGCCCCAGCATCAGCCTGGCCCTGCTGAGGAGGGATGCGGTGGTTTGTATCACTGCCTTCCTCCCCTTGTCCCTGGAGTCAGCAGCCAGCCTCTTCCTCCTCACTCTGGTCACCCTAAACTGTGAGGGGAAGGTGCCTTCAGAGCAGGGTCCCTGCAGGGTGCTGGGATACAAGCTGGAACCCACAGTGCCTGATGCCTCAAACCTGGGGCAGGGGATAAGGAAAGAGCCCAGCAGGGAGTGTTGGGAGATGGGGCTGGGTGGGCAGAGCTTTTGTCCCATCCACATCTCTAGAGGGAAGGAGGATGCCATTTGGAAGAGAACACCAAGCCTTGGCTGCCTTGTTATCTCTGCTCCTTCTCTCTCTGCTGTCCTTCTGCCTGCCCAGGCTGCTGTCTCACTCCTTCACGGACCACTCCTGGGTCATGCAGCAGGCACTGGCTCTCCTCTTTTGCTGGCCAAGGGTTTGTACACACGCTCACAGCCTGCCTCATGGTGATGCCCTGGGCAGGATGTGCTGGTGAGTGGCCAAGGAATGGTACCCACCAACAGCACCTGCGCTGCAAAGGGCTCAACCATGGGCGAGAGGGCACCATGGGAGGATGGAGATGCTGGAGAGTGGGGACCACCTTCAGTGACCAGCCTGGGTGGCCTGGCCACTCTGGCAGGTCCTGGAGCTCATCCCTGCCGATGATGGGGCTGTTCATGTGGGCTCTGCTCTGCAGGGACACCCCGCTCGGCTGGAGGCTGTCACTGTACTGACATGTCCATCTGTGTGCGTGTGTCTGTGCCTGGTGTGGTGTGCGTGGGTCTGTCTGCTCCTGGGTACACTTGGGTTTGTGTCTGTGTGTGTGGCTGGGTGTCCCTTGTATTCACAGAGAGTCTGGCCAGTGCCAAAGAGGAGAATGTGGGCATCCACCAGGTCCTGGACCAGACCTTGTTGGAACTGAACAACCTCTGATTTATCTTGGGGATCCCTCCCGTCCCTCCTCCCTACCCCACACGTGCACCCCACTGGCACGCTCAGGATGTCATCAGCTGTACTGCGTCTTGGCCAAATCCTCACATCCATTGAGAAGGGAAGCCCTGCAGCCTTACACTGTGGCTATGGGGCATCTTGTCTGTGCACAGCCTGACTGGCTCTGTCCTGTCTTCATGTCCAAATAAAAGCAGTTTGACAAGAAGAATGGGTATGTTTAGTCCTTGTGCTCAGGCAGAAGCAGTGGGAGACATGGTGGGGGTCTCCCTGCCCTGTTTATGCAAAGAGGCTCTGCAGGAACTTGAGTTTAGGGAGGGTATGGCTGGCATAAAGGTGTCCTCTGCGGCTATGGAGGGCTGGGAGTGATGACACACCAGGTGTGGGCTGCATTTGCTTGTCTCCATCACTTCCTTGGGATGCACACGAAACCTTCACGTCTAAAGCTCAGTCAAATTCATCATCCACTTCAAGCACACAGTGATGGACCTATGTCACTGGCATGGAGAACAGAAGGCTGCGTGGAGACCTCATAGCAGCCTTCCAGTATCTGAAGGGGGCCTATAGGGATGCTGGAGAGGGACTCTTCATTAGGGACTGTAGTGATAGGACAGGGGGTAACGGGTTCAAACTTAAACAGGGGAAGTTTAGATTGGATATAAGGAGGAAATTCTTTCCTGTTAGGGTGGTGAGGCCCTGGAATGGGTTGCCCAGGGAGGTTGTGAATGCTCCATCCCTGGCAGTGTTCAAGACCAGGTTGGACGAGGCCTTGGGTGATATGGTTTAGTGTGAGGTGTCCCTGCCCATGGCAGGGGGGTTGGAACTTGATGATCTTAAGGTCCTTTCCAACCTTAATTATTCTATGATTTTATGTCCCCTTCCACAGCCAGCATGTTACCTGCCTGGTACTTGGGGAAGCCACATGGTCTTTGACTTCTCCATGGAGTCTGCTTTGTGGTTCATGTTCATCCTCAGACACCATCTAAGGACACACACACAAGCGTGTGACCATGCATGCACACATTAGCTATGAGGGTCTTCTCCAGGTCTGGGGTTAGCTGCTTAACCTGTCTACTCGTTGCATTTTCTATTGCCAATGCCTGCCTGAGGGGCAGCTGTACAAACCAGCAAATATTAATGCAACCGCTTCCCAAAACGTTCAAGAAGTTTCCTCCTGGCTTGCTGTATTTTCCTTAACACAAAGAGAAAAGCATCAGGATGTGTCTCATCGCTGTCACCAAACCGGGCTGGATTTCCTGGGGATGCCCAAAGTCGGGATCTAGTCCTGCCCTCTGCTTCAGGCCCCTCCATGGTGTGCGCTGAGCCCCGTTGTCCCATGCTACCAGGCGGATATCCCTCTAAAAGCACAACCCCATGCTGCCAGGAAACACAATTCATGCTGACCCCTTGCTGAGCCGGGCCATCACCCCAGTGAGTGGCTGGCAGGGATAGCTTTTGTTGTCTGCTTTCCTTTATTGCCGCACCTCTCGGCTCAGGAAAGGAGGGTGCTGAGATTGCATCTCTTTCCTGCCCAGGTGCTGCCGGCCTCCTGCTCTCCCCCTGGAGCAGCACCTCTGGTTTCTGGCTCTGAGACCTGCCTCTACAGGGAAAATGGCTCCTGTTGCATGGAATGCTCATTTTCTGGTTGTCCTCACAGGGTGTGAGGCCTGCTGTGAGCGAGGGAAGGAGGGAAGGACAATGCAGCGCTGGAGCTCCTCCTTGGATCTGCCTTGGTTTTCCGTAGCACATCAGCTGAGCCATTGCATTTCTTGGTTAAAGCAGCTTCCAGGCAGGGGCTTGGTCTGGCTGTGAAAGGAGCATGAGTTTAAACCACTGGAGCCTGCACTCCACACTGCAAACAAGGCTCCTATCAGGGTGCGCCCCAGAGCACAGCCTCTGGGCACCCTTTGCCTTCCTGCTGGGACAAAGAGCCCTTTCACACCCGGTGGTTTTCCCCATTAGCTGCTGCTGCCTCCTGATTTGGACCAGAACATTCAACTTCACCGTTTATGCTCTGCTCCAAGGGCCTGTTTTGTTTCCGCTGGACTTGGTTTGGCAGTGAGACCCCGACTGCTCCCCCGTGATGCTCTGTGCCAAAGGCACAAGCCCATCTCTCACGGTTCAGCAAAGCTTTGCATTTAATCCATGCTCCCACCCACCTCTGTTCCGCTTCAGCCCTGTATAGAGATGCAGGGCAGGGGAAGCTCTGTAAGGCTGCTGTCAGGAGAGCTTGACCTGCAGGCACCTCTCTCCATATGCGTCACTCAGACCCACACTGAGGACTGCAGTGCCCTTCTCCTTCTCCCTCATTCCCACTCTCCTCCTGCACTTCTCCTGTTGAATTTCAACCTTTGGATTTGTTTACCTTGGCCTGATACATCGAAGATCTCCCCGAACAGCTTTCAGCCCTCGTGTGGGCTGCCACCCCATTGATGAACCACCACATTAACCCCTGGCAGCCTCTCACCTCTGCTCGCTTCACCAGTTTTCTCATCCCTCTGGTGCCTCAGCTCATCTCCGAACCCCTCCTGTTCAATACCCCTGAACTATGCGCTGGAGGGGAGGGACCACACAAAGAGCATCATAGAGACACGTTGAGCTCTGCGGAGCCAGACACAGCCCACCGCCACCCTCCTCTCTGCATTCACAGCCGGAGGCTTTGGGTGAGGGTGTGAAGAGCTGCATTACCAAGCTGTGTGGGTTTTGCAGGGATCTGAGTGATTTCAGAACAGGTCAGGCCACCCAAAGCCAAGCGCCACCCAAAGCTCACAGTCTCCAAATACACATTACTGACTGTAAGAAGAAAATGCGGTGGACGTGACCGTGCAGCACTCTCATTGCTGTGTGAGTTACACATGCTCTGTATCAGCACCCGTTACTGCACCCCACACCGGGCTGTGCAATAGGAGCGTGTGACCACCGCTCCACATCCTTGGGGGACGCAGGGGGTTTGGCAGCAGCACCAGAGCCCCTCTGCAGCGAGGCAGACCCACAGTGGGGTGACAGGCAGCTAGGGACCCTTGGGGACAGCTAGCCCTGGCCCTGGGCTGGGCACAGGGTACACAGGGAGTGCTGTGGGTGCTGTGAGGTGCCAGGGCCAAGCTCCCGCGGGTGTAATCATGTCCCTGCATGTCAGGATCGGGTCCCCCGTGACAGCCCGTGCCTCCACTGCCCCCCCCCCCCCCCCCCCCGTGCCACCGCAGCCCCAAGCCCCGCCCACCCCGCCCATTCCCTCCGCCCACCCCGGCTGGGGCCCCGCCCCACCGAGCTGCTTCCGTCCGCGCCGGCGCGCGCAGCCGTCGCGTAACGTCATTGTCCCGGAAGGGCGGGAGAGGGGCAGGGTCCGCGGGGCCGGTCCGGTCCGGTCCGCAGCGAGCGCCGGGCCCCGTCCCGGTACCGAGTGCCGGGCCCCGCCGCCATGACCCTCGCCGTGTTCTTCGGGTGCACCTTCATCGCCTTCGGGCCCGCGCTCGGCCTCTTCCTCTTCACCGTCGCCCGCGACCCGCTCCGCATCATCATCCTCATCGCCGGGTCAGTCCGGGACCGGCGGCACCCTAGGGGTGGGGAGGCGGCGCCGCTGCTTGCTGCTGGTGTGGCACCAGTGTTACTGCTGGTGTGGACGGGACGAGGGCACTGGTACCAGGGCTGGTACCGGGTATGGACGTGACAGGGGCACTGGTACCAGGGCTGGTACCGGGTATGGACGTGACAGGGGCACTGGTACCAGGGCTGGTACCGGGTATGGACGTGACAGGGGCACTGGTACCAGGGCTGGTACCGGGTATGGATGTGACAGAGGTGCTAGTACCACATATGGATGTGACAGAGGCAATGGTAGCAGTGCTGGTACTGGATATGGATGTTTCAGGGGCACTGGTACCAGTGCTAGTACCGGGTATGGATGTGACAGAGGCACTGGTACCAGGGCTGGTACTGGGTATGGATGTGACAGGGGCACTGGTACCAGGGCTGGTACCGGGTATGGACGTGACAGGGGCACTGGTACCAGGGCTGGTACTGGGTATGGACGTGACAGGGGCACTGGTACCAGTGCTGGTACCGGGTATGGATGTGACAGAGGTGCTAGTACCACATATGGATGTGACAGAGGCACTGGTAGCAGTGCTGGTACCGGGTATGGATGTTTCAGGGGCACAGGTACCAGTGCTAGTACTGGGTATGGATGTGACAGAGGCACTGCTACCAGTTATGGACGTGACAGGGGCACTGGTGCCAGTACTAGTACCGGGTATGGATGTGACAGGGGAACTGGTATCGGTACTGGTAGCAGGTATGGGCGTGACAGGGGAACTGGTATTAGTGCTGGTGCCGGGTATGGACATGACAGGGGCACTGGTACCAGTGCTGTTACCAGGTATGGACATGACAGGGGCACTGGTACCAGTACTAGTACTGGGTATGGATGTGACAGAGGCGCTGGTACCAGCACTGTTACTGCGTATGGACGTGACAGGGGCACTGGTAGCAGTGCTGGTACCGGGTATGGATGTGACAGAGGCACTGGTACCAGCACTGTTACTGCGTATGGACGTGACAGGGGCACTGGTAGCAGTGCTTTTACTGGGTATGGGTGTGACAGGGGCACTGGTACCAGTGCTGGTACCAGGTATGGATGTGACGGGGCACTGGTACAAGTGATAGTACTGGGTATGGATGTTTCAGGGGCACTGGTAGCAGTGCTGGTACTGGGTATGGGTGTGACGGGGCACTGGTACCAGTGCTAGTACTGGGTATGGATGTTTCAGGGGCACTGGTAGCAGTGCTGGTACTGGGTATGGATGTGATGGAGGCACTGGTATCAGTGCTGGAACCAGATATGGATGTCACAGGGGCACTGGTAACAGTGCTGATGCCAGGTATGGATGTGACAGAGGC